TAGCACAGGATCCCAAGCACATTCCTTGGTCTAGTAGTGTGACTTAGACAAAAATGCCAATTCTTTACAGAGGGGGAGTGAGAGAAATATACCATAGTCAAAGCAAGATTACATCAGAAATATGGCATAGTAGCCACCCCCTGCCATGTGTTGCTGTGGCCCAGTCTGTGTATATGTGTTTTGTGTGTATATGTGTGTATATATGTGTGTGTGTATATTACAACTTATTTGCACATAAGTTGTAATGTATTTTTTAATTTTTGACTTTTAAAGTCCCTTCTGCTGTGTTTTTCAGTGTTTTTAATGAGTGATGGTTATTTGATAGCCAGATAGGTGTATTGTGTCCAAATTTGGTGTCAATTCATCCAGTGGTTTTTGAGTTATGTTAATCCCACAAACGAACATTTCATTTTTATTTATATAGATAAGATTACACATGAACGATGTGAAGTGTGAGCTTTAAGGCCACATATGTAAAAAAACAGGAAATAAATCTAAAGAAAATTATACCGACATCAATTATTTAATTCTTTATTCAAAGGGTTGGTTGTTTTATTTTCCCCATTTTTGTTTTCTCATGTCTGAATCTCCACTATCGTTATTATACAAAATCAGATGTCATGAGAAATTCTCTTAACGTAAAAAACCCCCCAAAAAAACAAACCTTGAATATGTTTCCTACATTTAAAAATACCAAATTTCTATCTTTTTATGTGTATATATAGGTTAGCAGCTGCCATAGGGAACTCTATTTGGATTCAAGGATAAGGCAAATGGGAAAATTTAAGTCTAAAATATGATTGAAGAAAAATGGCTTGCTTAACACAGTATTATGCCTCAAGTCCAAATCATGGCCTATATACAATAGCTGTATATATATTGCATTTATTTCAGAACTTTGACTGTGAAACATGACCGCTAAAATAGTGTCAAACTGCATTCATTCTACAGCATAGATCCATATTAAGTTTTTATTTTTATGACTTGGAAAATTCTGTGCTTGGGACCAAGAAAGGTTAGACCAGGCATTGGCAAACTTCGGCCCTCCAGGTGCTGAAGTTTGCCCATGCCTGGGTTACAGAATATTGGGCTGGCTGTAAGGTTTGGGGAATATCATGTTTTAACTGTTAAGGGATAAAATGCTATGGGGCCCTTGGATGCCAAAATCAGTGGGTGCTCAAGTCCTATTACATACAATAATATAGTACAGTGGTGTCCATTTTATAAAATGACAGCATCAAGATTTACTTTTGGGGATTTGGTAGAAATCATTTCAAGCTGTGGATGGATACAGAGATCCAACTGACTTCTTAAAGATATTCCTTTCTTACAGAAAACAAACTCTGTTCAACAGGTTTGGGTTTTCCAATTGCTTAATTTGCTTATTGTTATTTCCCCTCCATCTTTCATGTTCTCAGGGCAGCTTACAGAAGTCCAATACAAAATGGAGTGGCAGAAAGGTACAATATACTGTATTTAAATTGGATATTGGCTGTTATCTCTGGTGCATAAAGTAATGCAACCTTTGCCTTTTGGAATGTAGTTAACATTTAGAACTTCAACAGGAAGTATGTTTTTCCCACCTGGTGAATTCTTCTCTGCTTTAAAGGCAAAGAATTTATGCCAACCAAGGGCAAACTTGGGCCCTCCTGGTGTTTTTGACTTCATCTTCCACAATTCCTAACAGCGGGAGGGCCCAAGTTTGCCATGCTTGGTCTACACAGTAGAATTAATGCATAGTAGTTTGTGCTGTCACGCACTGGGCCTGTGAAAGAGTCTGTAGACAGGATGTGTTCTGTATGCTCAACAGGACGCCGGGGGTGCCTTGGGTTAGAGGCTCTTTGGATTTTCCTAAACAAAGTCTTTAGAAACTTGGAAAGTTTAACAAAGTTCTTTATTAGTGCTTAAGTCTTCAATAAATCAAACAAATACTTCAAGGCTTTGAATCAACTGGTGGCTTTCTTAATCTTGTCCACAAGGGACAGGCAACTATCTTCATGAACTGTTTCTTCACTATCAGGGAAATCCTTGACCTCTACCTGGGCAATCTGTCTTAGGCTCTGCTGGCATGGGCCCCTACACCCGGTCCAAATTGCGTTATGGCTGCCACGAGTGGTCCTTACCAAACAGAATCCTTTTGTAGATTTCCAAGAGGAAAGAGGGTCTTCAATCCCCAGCAAAGGCTGGCTGTAAAGCTGTGGGACCGGATCCCCCCAGCAAAGGCTATGCTTCTCTGTAGAGCTGTGGGACTGAATTCCCCCCAGCAAAAGCTTTAGAGCTGTGGGACTGGATCCCCCAGCAAAAGCTGTAGAGCTGTGGGACTGGATCCCCGCAGCAAAAGTTGTAAAAGACGAAGCTTTCTACAGGTGGAACTGACTCACGTCCTGTACGAAATGCTTCTCTGTGTGAACAGAACTAGAGGTCTGGTAGTATTGACAGGAGGTTGTGGTGTTTTTGTGAGGATTTCTTTCTAGTCAAACTGAATGACTGTGTCGCAAAATGATGCGTGTCGGAAAATCCTGTCAGTGACATGAATTATTTGGAAAGCTCTGGTAATTATATAGTATTGACAGGAGGTTGTGGTGTTTTTGTGAGGATTTCTTTCTAGTCGAACTGAATGGCTGTGTTGCAAAATGATGCGTGTCAGAAAATCATGTCAGTGACATGAAATATTTGGAAAGCTCTGGTAAATATATAGTATTGACAGGAGGTTGTGGTGTTTTTGTGAGGATTTCTTTCTAGTTGAACTGAATGACTGTCGCAAAATGATGCACGTCGGAAAATCCTGTCAGTGACATGAAGTATTTGGAAAGCTCTGGTAATTATAGTATTGACAGGAGGTTGTCGTGTTTTTGTGAGGATTTCTTTCTAGTCGAACTGAATGACTGTGTCGCAAAATGATGCTTGTCGGAAAATCCTGTCAGTGACATGAAATATTTGGAAAGCTCTGGTAATTCTATAGTATTGACAGGAGGTTGTGGTGTTTTTGTGAGGATTTCTTTCTAGTCGAATGGAATGACTGTGTCGCAAAATGATGCGTGTCGGAAAATCCTGTCAGTGACATGAAGTATTTGGAAAGCTCTGGTAATTATATAGTATTGACAGGAGATTGTGGTGTTTTTGTGAGGATTTCTTTCTAGTCGAATGGAATGACTGTGTTGCAAAATGATGCGTGTCGGAAAATCCTGTAGGTGACATGAAGTATTTGGAAAGCTCTGGTAATTATATAGCATTGACAGGAGGTTGTGGTATTTTTGTGAGGATTTCTTTTTAGTCCAACTGAATGACTGTGTCGCAAAATGATGCGTGTCGGAAAATCATGTCAGTGACGTGAAGTATTTGGAAAACTCTGGTCATCATATAGTACTAGCCGTCCCCTGCCACGCGTTGCTGGTGATCTGGAAAATAAAGTAATGGTTTCTAATATATGTAATTCCTTTATGCTTGTGGGTAAACAGTATTTCTTGCTGTTTCTATGTCAGTGTTGATGTGGAGATTGTCTGGTTTGCCTACTCTGGGACATGCGACATATAATTGTCCTTTAGGGATCCCTTTCAAATCTATGATACTATCTCTTTCTGTGTGTGAAACATATCTATCATCTATCTATCTATCTATCTATCTATCTATGGCTGGATGGCTCTTTGTCAGGAGGACTTTGATTACGTTTTCTTGCCGTGATGAAGGGAGTTGGATTGGATGGCCTTAAGTATTTTCTGTTGGTCTTGGGGATTCTGTGTGAAGTTTGCCCCAATTCTGTCGTTTGTGGAGTTCAGATTGCTCTTTGATTGTAGGTGAACTGTGAATCCCAGTGACTACAACTCCCAAATGTCAATGTCTATTTCCCCCAAACTCCATCTGTGTTCATATTTGGGCATATTGAGTGCTTGTGCCAAGTTTAGTCCAGATCCATCATTGTTAGAGTCCACAGTGCCCTCTGGATGTAGGTGAACTACAACTCCCAAACTCAAGGTCAATGCCCACCAAACCCTTCTAGTAGGCTTGGGCAATCCATGATTCTAAATGGTTCTAAATTATTTTCAAAACTAAAGTTCTGGTGGTGAAAATTTCAGAACTCTAACAAAACTTTCAAAATGTAATTATTATTTCATTATTGGCGATTTTTATGACAGAACCAATTAGAAACTGCCATTTATAATGAAATTTTGAGAGTTTCGTTAGAGTTTTGAACTTTAGTTTTGTAAGTACTTTAGAACCATTTAGAACCATGGATTGCCCAAGCCTACCTTCTAGTGTTGTCTGTTGGTCATGGGAATTCTGTGTGCCAAGTTTGGTTCAATTCCATCATTGATGGAGTTCAGAATGCTCTCTGATTATAGGTGAACTATAAATCCCAGCAACTACAACTCCCAAATGACAAAATCATAATTTTTTGAGTGATGGTCACTCCTTGCGTTGTGAGACGTTTTGTTGCCAAATCTGATGTGATTTCGTTCATTGGTTCTTTTGTTTTTAAGGTACTCATTATGCACAGAGCATTTTTATATATATAATACATATATATGTGTGTGTGTGTGTGTAAGTATTGACAGGAATGGTGTTTCTGTGTGAGGATTTTTTATTATTATTTCTAAATGCCTTTCTCTCTTTCATTCTCCTAGCAGGAACAGGAAGCCCCTGCTGAGGAGGAGGAGAAAAAAAAATACCCATGAAGAGAATGGTGATGATGTGTTAAGACAGTGTTTCTTTCCCATTTCTCTCCCTCACAAGAGCCCGCTTTTTCCCTCTCTCTCTCTCTCTCTCTCTCCACAGAGGCCTCTCCCTCCCTCCCCCCTCCCTCCTCCCTCTTCCTTCAACCGTTACTAGTTGCTTCAAGGGGCGCGCGCGCATAGGAACGCGCACGCGCCCCAGCCCCGCCTAGCAGCATTCCCTTTGCTCAGTGGGCCTGGCTGTAACTCCCTCCCTCCCTCCGTCGCGCGCTATTTTGCCTATATGTGAGTGAGTGAGCGCGCGCTGTCTTGGAAAAAAAAAAAGCGCAGTGGTGCGCATGCGCGCCCCGAGAAGAGCGAGACAGTGTGTGTGACTCGCCGCGCCCCTCTTCCCCTCCTTCAGTCGGGTTCCAGCCGTTGCTGAGGCGGCTTCCTGCCTCCTCTCTTCTCTCCGCGCGGGCTCAGGGCTTGCTCTTGACGCGCCCTCAGACCCTGAGGACCAACCCCCTCCCCTTCTCCGCCTGTTGCCCCCTCCCGCCTCCTTCACACTCTTTTCACTTCTTTCTGAAGGCGCCCCTCGCCGCCATGAACCCCAGCTGCGCCCGCTGCGGCAAGATCGTTTACCCGACCGAGAAGGTGAACTGCCTCGATAAGGTGAGAGAATAAGAAGACGCTATGTGGGTAAAATGGGAGACGAGAGCGGGAAGGGGGGATCTGTCTCGATGTCACGTCGCGAAAGGCACGGTGGGTGGGAGAGGCGCGTAGGCCCCAAAAGTGAGGAATTGCCGGAAGGAAAGTCCACGACTTGGGTGGGGAGGAAGTGGAGCGTGTCTGAGGCACAAAGGAGAGGAGTGTGTGTGTGTGTGTCAGGTTCGAGGGCACGTCCACATAGCCATATAATCCATAATATCAAGTCAGATAAACCACAATATCTGCTTTGAACTGGATGAGCTGAGTCCACACTGCCATATAATCCAGTTCAATGTGGATTTTATACAGCTGTGTGGAAGGACTGAACCCGTGGAGAGTTTGCATACTTGGGGGGTGGGCCAAATATATGTGTCAGGTTCGAGGGCACGTCCACAGCCATATAATCCATAATATCAAGGCAGATAATCCACAATATCTGCTTTGAACTGATGATCTCAGTCCACACTGCCATATAATCCAGTTCAATGTGGATTTTATACAGCTGTGTGGAAGGGGCCTGGGAGGCTGTTTCTTGAGGAATGAACCCCTGGAGAGTTTGCATATTTGGGGGGTGGGCCAAATATGTGTGTCAGGTTTGAGGGCCCATCTACATAGCCATATCATCCATAATATCAAGTCAGATAAACCACAATATCTGCTTTGAACTGGATGAGCTGAGTCCACACTGCCATATAATCCAGTTCAATGTGGATTTTATACAGCTGTGTGGAAGGGGCCTGGGAGGCTGTTTCTTGAGGACTGAACCCCTGGAGAGTTTGCATACTTGGGGGGTGGGCCAAATATGTGTGTCAGGTTCGAGGGCCCATCCACATAGCCATATAATCCATAATATCAAGGCAGATAATCCACAATATCTGCTTTGAACTGGATGATCTCAGTCCATTACCATATAATCCAGTTCAGTGTGGGTTTTATACAGCTGTGTGGAAGGAACCTGGGAGGCTGTTCCTTGAGGACTGAACCCCTGGAGAGTTTGCATACTTGGGGGGTGGGCCAAATATGTGTGTCAGGTTCGAGGGCCCATCCACATAGCCATATAATCCATAATATCAAGGCAGATAATCCACAATATCTGCTTTGAACTGGATGATCTCAGTCCATTACCATATAATCCAGTTCAGTGTGGGTTTTATACATCTGTGTGGAAGGAACCTGGGAGGCTGTTCCTTGAGGACTGAACCCCTGGAGAGTTTGCATACTTGGGGGGTGGGCCAAATATGTGTGTCAGGTTCGAGGGCCCATCCACATAGCCATATAATTCATAATATCAAGGCAGATAAGCCACAATATCTGCTTTGAACTGGATGAGCTGAGTCCATACTGCCATACAATCCAGTTCAGTGTGGATTTTATACAGCTGTGTGGAAGGAGCCTGGGAGGCTGTTTCTTGAGGACTGAACCTCTGGAGAGTTTGCATACTTCGAGGGTGGCCCAAATGTGTGTGTCAGGTTCGAGGGCCCATCCACATAGCCATATAATCCATAAAATCAAGGCAGATAATCCACAGTATCTGCTTTGAACTGGATGATCTGAGTCCACACTGCCATATAATCCAGTTCAATGTTGTTTTTATAGAGCTGTGTGGAAGGAGCTTGGGAGGCTGTTTTTAGAGGACTGAACCTCTGGAGAGTTTGCATACTTGGGGGGTGGGCCAAATATGGGCGTGGGTTCTGTTTTTTTTTTCCTTATAAGGCGGAGGGTCTAGAGTGGAAGTATGCTTAGCTGGCAAACGAATGGGATGTGGGTTTTGTGGAAGCCTTTACTGCAAAGTATTTGTATAATGTTTGCAAAAAGCAGTAGGCTTTTTGCATAATATTTGTAAAAAGCGATGGCTTTTCAAGAGGCAGCATAGAGTTGGAAGAGACCGCAAGGGCCAAAGGTTGTGAAAGGGATCGAGGATTCTTAGCAGACCACAAGCTGAACATGAGTTGACAGTGTGATGTGGCAGCTCAAAAAGCCAATGTGATTCTAGGCTGCATTAATAGAAATATAGTGCCTAGATCACGCATGGTCAGACTTGGGTCCTCCAGGTATTTTGGACTTCAGCACCCACAATTCCTAACAGCCGGTCTAGATCAGGCATAGTCAAACTTGGGTCCTCCAGGTGTTTTGTACTTCAACTCCCACAATTCCTGACAGCCAGTAGGCTGTTAGGAATTGTGGGAGTTGAAGACCAAAACACCTGGAGGACCCAAGTTTGACCATGCCTGATCTAGATCCAGGGAAATCATAGTCCTGCTCTTTTCTTTGATCAGACCTCATCTGGAAGGTGGCAAACAAATGGGGTGTGGGTGTTGTGGAAGCCTTTAGTGCAGAGCAGTAGGCTTTTCAAGAGGCAGCATAGAGTTGAAAGAGACCCCAAGGACCAAAGGTTGTGAAAGGGATCAAGGATTCTTAGCAGACCACAAGTTGAACATGAGTCGTCAGTGTGATGCGGCAGCTCAAAAAGCCAATGTGATCCTAGGTTGCGTCAATAGAAATATAGTGTCTAGATTTGCCCATGCCTGGTCTAGGTCCAGGAAATTCATAGCCCCACTCTATATTCTGCTTTGGTCAGAACTCATCTGGAAGGTAGCAAACAAATGGGATGTGCGTTTTGTGGAAGCCTTTAGTGCAAATCAGGAGGCTTTTCAAGAGGAATCATAGGTTGGAAGAGACCGAATGGGCCAAAGGCTGTGAAAGGGATTGAGGATTCTTAGCAGACCACAAGCCAAACATGAGTCAGCAGTGTGGTACAGCAGCTCAAAAAGCCAATACGATTCTAGGCTGCGTCAATAGAAGTATAGTGTCTAGATCAGGCATGAGCAAACTTGGGCCCTCCAGGGGTTTTGGGCTTCAACTCCCACAATTCCTAACAGCCAATATTTTGCACACTGCAAGCTGAACATGAGTTGACAGTGTGATGCGGCAACTAAAAAAGCCCATGCAATTCTAAATCAGGCATGGTCAAACTTGGACCCTCCAGGAGTTTCGGGCTTCAATTCCTAACAGCCAATATTGTTAGGAATTGTGGGAGTTGAAGTCCAAAACACCTGTAGGGCCCAAGTTTGCCCATGCCTGCTCTAGATCCAGGGAAGTCATAGTCTTGCTCTGTATTCTGCTTTGGTCAGACCTCATCTGAAAGGGGGCAAACAAATGGGATGTGGGTTTTGTGGAGGCCTGTAGCACAAAGCAGGAGGCTTTTCAAGAGGCACCATAAGAGTTGGAAGAGACCGAAGGGGCCAAAGGCTGTGAAAGGAATCGAGGATTCATAGCACACTGCAAGCTGAACATGAGTTGACAGTGTGATGCGGCAACTAAAAAAGCCCATGCAATTCTAGGCTGTTCCAATAGAAATATAGTGCCTAGATCAGGCATGGGCAAACTTGGGCCCTCCAGGTGTTTTGGGCTTCAATTCCCACAATTCGTAACAGCCAGTATTGTTAGGAATTGTGGGATTTGATGTCCAAAACACCTGGTGTCCAAAAGCTTGCCCATGCTTGGTTTAGATCCAGGGAAGTCATAGAGTTGCTCTGTATTCTTCTTTGGTTAGACCTCATCTGGAAGGTGTCAGACGAATGGGGTGTGGGTTTTGTGGAAGCCTTTAGTGTGGAACAAGAGGCTTTTCAAAAGGCAATGTAGAGTTGGAAGAGACCACATGAGCCAAAAGTTGTGAAAAAGATCCAGGATTCTTAGCAGACCACAATCAGAACATGAGTTGACACTGTGATGCAGCAGCTCAAAAAGCCAATGCGATTCTAGGCTGTGTCAATAGAAGTATAGTGTTAGATCAAGGGAAGTCAAAAGGCCCTTCCAAACAGCACATAATATCAATGCAGATAATCCACAATATCTACTTTGAACTGAGCTATCTGAGTCCACATTGCCATATAATCCAGTTCAATGTGGATTTTATACTTCTTTGTGGAAGGGACCATAGTCCCACTCTTATTCTGCTTTGGCCAGACCTCATCTAAAATACTGTGTCCAGTACTGGACCCCACAATTCAGAAGGGATGTTGACAAGCTGGAACATGTCCAGAGAAAGGTGACAAAAATGGCCACAATCTTGGAAGCCAAGCCCTGTGAGGAATGGCTTAAGATGTTGGGTATGTTTAGCTTTGAAAGGGGACGTGATGGCTAGGTTTAAATATTTGAAAGGATGTCGCATTAAGAGGGGGCAAGCTTGGTTTCTGCTGCTCTAGAGACTAGGACACGGAACCATGGATTCAAATGGAAGGAAAAGACATTCCACCTAAACCTTAGGAAGAACTTCCTGACAGTAAGAACTGTTCAGCAGGAAAATATGCTGCCTCTCACTGCCAAATCACATTTGAGGATAGATCTACTTTAAATCCACTTTCTGCCTCCTGCAGAATTCTGGGGTTCATAGTTTAGTAAGCAGTTTAAAGGCCCCTCCCTAAACTACAAGTTCATATTCTGCAGGAGACAGAAACTGGATTTAAAATGGATCTATGATCTAGTGTGATGAGGTCCTAAGTCTCCTCCTTTTGAGATATTTAAACAGAGGCTGGGTGGCTATCTGTCAGGAATGTTTCAATTGGATATTCCTGCATAGCAGGGGGTTGGGGTGGATGGCCCTTGTGGTCTATTCCAACTCTGTGATGCTATGTGTGCTATGGGTATGCAACTGCACCTCAACTTTCTTCACCTCCCTGAATGCATCTACATGGAAGAATTAATGCAGTTTGACACCACTTGTAAGTGGTGAATGCATCTACATGGAAGAATGCATCTACATGGAAGAATTAATGCAGTTTGACACTACTTCGACCTGGCTGGACGAAGCTGGAGGGGTAAATTTGACCCAGCTTTGTCCACCAGGTTTCTCTGTGCAGCACCAGTCGAGATCCGGAGGGCGGGGAGGCGGAGTTGCAGTGGTCTATAGAAATACTATCCCTCTGACCAGAGGCCCCATCCCACAGTCAACTAACTTTGAATGC